GCCCGATGCGGGACTCGATCCAGGGACTCCAGGATCATGACCTGAGCCGAAGGCAGTCGCTCAACCAACTGAGCCACCCAGGCGCCCCTCCTTTTCTCTTTTAAGATTCTTTTCATTTCCATCATGGGTTCTCCCAGGAATGGGAAACTCTTCCCAGCAAACACAGGATGAACGTCACTAGAAGCCTCAGGCCGGGGTTGGGGTCACAAAGGAGACCAAGGATTTGGAAGGGCAGCAACAGAAGAGCGCTCCAGTGTTACGGGGTAAGAAACGGGCGCTAAAAATACAGGGGCCACGCTGAGGGCCAGTGACACCATGAGCTAGGCCTCTGGAGTCACGCTTGCCCACTCGTGTGGGCATTGGCCCAATACCACCTTGGCCACGCGCCGGGCATTTACCAACCCCTTCGCTTACATCCTACATGCTCCTTCTTGCGAGGCTTGCCACGGTTTTGGTATCGTGTGCCTCACTTCACAGAGGGGACAGGAGGCCACGCTCAAAGGAAATGTCCTCTGTCCCATTTTCTACAAGCATGTTACACTCAGAAGTATGGAGCGTGTGCGTGTGCACATTTCCTCTGTGACACCTGTCAAAGCCACAGCCCTGGACCTCCGAGAAGTAGGGCAAGGAGTATGGTCAGGAGGTTGCAGGAAGCATCGTAATTAAGACGGAAAGCCCTGGCAAGCAAGGGGGTAGTGATCAGCGGCATGTGTCTCGATGGGAAAACATCTTGGAAACTAGTCCAGGGACTGAGCATTAGCCAGAACGTTCCTATGGCACCAACAGATTGTTTTTTACAAAGGAGATCACCAGGAGGATGGGGGGAGAGAGCAAGAGAATGAGAACAGTATGAGGAGAAGAGCACCCGATCCACCAGCCGCGGGGCTGCCGCTCAGTCCCCAGGGCAGGGAGCTGGTCACAGAAGCCCCAGCTGGGGGGAGCAGGGTATCTGCGTGAACCCTGCCATTTATGAGCCCTGGCTACTTCTGGTGACTCCACCTCCGTCCGCTCAGGGGAAAGAACACGCATCATGAAAACCACGCTCGGGACTGCGGTCCCCCACCTCTGGGAGCTCGCACAAACCCCATCAGAGATTCTGAGGTGCTAGGGAGGGCTGAACATGGGCTTTTATTTTTAAGATCCCCAAAAGACCCTAACATGCACCCAGGGATGAATTCTCATGGAATCAACGGTGACAGCCTGAGCGGTGTACCCTGACTTCATGGGTGGAACCCTCACCTGGCGTGGTGCAACTTGGAGATGGGGCCTCTGTGAAGGTAAATGCAGTTAAGTGAGGCCACCGGGGTGGGCCTGACCCACCAGGACCGGCGTCCTGAGCAGAAGAGCCACAAGAGCTGTCCCTCCCTGCGCAGGGGAGGCCTGGCGAGGACGAGAAGGCACCGGCTGCCGAGCCGCACACAAACGGGATGCTACTCCTACTGTGGGGGTGGGGACGTGACACAATCCCTCTGCCGGCCCACACCCTCCGCCCAGGGACGCAGTCTCCTGTCGGGGCCCAGCTGTACCTTCTGTGTAGCCACACGCCTGGGTGAGGGCCTGGCAGTGGGTCAGCAGTGCGATCCTGGTCACGGTCACCCCGAGCACGCTCCCGTCCTTGCACGTCTTATACTGAAACAAGAGGACGCCGTGCAGGCGGGGGTTCCGAGGGGACAGCCAGTCCAGTCTGCCCACCCGTCAGGAGCCCGCGTGTAGCCCTGCGACCCACCTCGATGTACGCGGTGTCATTGTTCGCATCTTTGATGTGTGGGAACCAATCTCGAGGGGGCTTGGAGAGATGCTTTGACTCGGTGACAAACCACAGCAGCTTTGGCCAACCTTGGAAATAAAGAACAATCCCACTCAGGGGACCGTGACCCAGAACGCAGGTCCGCAGCATCCCATCCCCTTCCCGTGGCCCGTGTGGCAGCACCACGAGCCAGGCGGGACCTGCAGTGCTGCCGTTGAGCCTCAGACCACGTCAGCAGCATGGACGCCGCCAGCTACACCGGGCCACACGGCAGGCGACAGGGGACGTGTTACGGGAGGCGGCCGCGTGTGCAAGAGCGTGTCTGGGACCTGAGGAGACGCAGGACCTTCCTGCGTGGAGTCCCCAGCAAGGCTCCGGGTGGCGGTGTACCTTTGAACTGCGGGATCTCCCCCGTCGGGCTTTTTGGCAGCCCTTTGTGGCAAGCGTCGCTCGTCAAGGCCACGGTGACTCCGCAGCTTCCGAGCAAGAACCCAATCTGCTGGCTTCCGGCGTCCTGGGGGAGGCGACAGGGAGACAAGTCACAAAGCCAGGAAGGACGGCTGTGTTCCTGGCAACACGCGGCCTCGCCCTTGGGTTCTGGGTCGGAGGGAACCTCCCTGAATGACCAGCAACGTGGGGTGCGAACAGGAGTCCACAGAGCCCGGGTTGCACCCAGGTGGCACTCATTGCTGTGGGACCCTGAACAGAGTAGCTGGCTAGCTCAGCCTCTGTCTCCTGGTCTGCTGCGAGGGAGGAACCGAGGAGCGTAGACAGTGCTCAGGTGTGGCTGGCGTGCAGCGGGTCTCCTGAGAGGATTCAGACTATGACTGTGGGACGTGATTAGCGTGGAGAACAGAAAGCACCCAGGAAACATCTTCCTACTTACATGGAGCCTGATTTTAAAGATGCTCAGAGCACAGGGCCCTGCCCTGTCTGATGTCACGTGATTGTGCGAGCTGGACACCCAGTCCCGACTGGCACAGTGAAGACCTGCCACCCTCCTGCACCCTGAGCAGGCCTCGTTTGTGAGCGGGGACACAGGGCTGGATGGACCACCCCCCTTACAGGACATGGAGTCCAGAAGCCCTGAATGACCAGCACTGATGTGGCAGACCCTGTGGGACAGGGCTCTCCTGGGACCGTCCACCCCGTGGTCTGGTCGCTGACCATGTCCAGCTGCCTGGGCCACGTCTGTTCAACTGGCTTTCTTTATGCCAACCGGTCACACCAGCTCTGATTCAGAAAACAAGAGCTGGGAAGGAGCAGGCATTCCTACAACCAGACATCACAACGTGGTGAGCAGGCCACCCTCATTCGGTCCCCTAGCACGCGGCCTGAACCGTTGGCCGACCAGCCACGGCTTCCTGTCACTCTGCCGGCATGCGCCCCGCTGCGAAAGCATGGGATGACCTGGGGTGTTTCCAGCAGGTAAAGTCTGCAGCACTGACATCTTAAAAGTAGTCTTTCAACTGGTTCACAGTTCCACCCCACAGGTAAAGCCACGATCCTTATGTCGAATTGTGCACCACCAGCCTCCTGACGTTGCGTGCGGCGCTGAGCGGGATGCAGAGGGCTGGCACCCGACGGACAGATGGACCCGTTTCAGGTACCTTTCCGTCATGCACTGCTTCTTTAGAGTTTTTAACAATCACTCAAATGTGAATTTGCGTATCACGCTGCCAAACATCGAGACAGGTTCTGAGACCCCATTCGGCGGCAGGAAGGCATTTCTTTGTGAGTGAGAACTTGCTGAGACCACCTCCCTCCCGGCCATGTGAGCAACGGTGCAGAAGAGTGAGTGCAGGGCTGTCAGCCGCGACCTGCCGGGGCCGGTGGCCGTGCTGAGGGCTCGCCTCCCATCTGGGCTCTCCCGCACCCTGACTTTCTAGAATCTGCTCCTGACTGATTTCTAATGTGACGTAATCACGCACACAAGACAGGAGCCCAGAGGAAGAGGAGGGACCGCAGGTGAGGAGAGTGACGGACAGAAGTCCACAGTTCAGCCCGAAATTCAGACCTCACACCTGCTCCGCCCTCAGCTGGAAGGGGGTTCTTGTCCCGTCCATCTGTTAAATTCCTCCTCAGAGCTCGAGCCCACTCTGCAGAACAGCTCTGCCCACCCCGGCCCATCGCTGGAGGCAAGACTGGCGCCTGCTCTCCAAGTCGCCCCTGTTGCTCCTTTAAGCACCGAGACGCCCGAAACCCAGCGCACACTTGACCCCGGAGCCTGGACCCTGCGGGCGGATGCCCCCTCCACACGGTGTTGGGGCTGTGGTCCTCCACGGGCCCGTCTCCGCATGGAGCCTCCTACCCATCCTTTGGGAACGGCTGCCTCCAGCTGCCCCGGCTTTGGGAAGCTGCATCTTGCCTCCAGAGGACTCTGAATAAAGCACGTAGACTCTGGCCCTCACGGGGCTCCCTGTGTGCCTTTTCCTTGGGATGCCCACGTCCCCTCCTCGGTTGAGGGCCGCTCCTCTGAAGGGCTGGGCTGTCAGGATGGTGACCACCTCCCCGGTCACAAGGTCTTACGAATGATTCTTTTTGGCTCTTCAAGAAAAGCCAGACCACACCTGACTTCAGCCCGTCACCTCCAACCCTCCTGCAACACAGACAGGTGCCAAGTTACGTCACCCCAAAAGAAGTCTCTCCTTGGTCTCCCCAATGACCCCGGAGCCTCCAATAGGCCGGCGTGGACACGTCCCTCCACGCGGTCTGTTCTGTCCCAGGCTCCCAGTCAGGAAGCAGCAATCACGCTCCCAAGAACGATTCTCACAAACGTGAGGACAGCTCACAGAAAGTCCCTCTTGTGAACACGCTTCGGATGTGTGGCCCCACGATGACTAGGTGGTGTTGGGCCAATTTTGTCCTTTGCCGAAGGGGCAGTTCACCGGCTCTCAGGAGGTGGAGCAGGGCAGAAATGGGGCAAAGGTGTCTAGGGGGCACGGGCTTCAGATGTTCTGGCTCTGCAGAATGGCCTACAGGCCACTCTGTCCCTGGTCTCTGGTCCTTGGAACATGCCCACTCTGACCCCTTCCTAACGGCCTTGCTATTTTCCCATCAGATTCACGTTCCCGTGGCAGAGCCCGTGTCAGCTGAGGGGAGATCCTGGGGGAGTCTCTTGGCTGGCCGGCCGATGTGCCCTGCAGACAGCTGGCCTTACTCAAGCTCGGCCGCCTCAGCAGGGCGACAGCAACAGGCTGTCCCAGCTCTGCTGTGACCCGGCAGGGCCCATTGTGCAAATTCCCCTGGATGCTCCACACGCCCTGGCCAAACCACCCAGGAACTCCAGTCTCTCCTGCTGCGAACTCCTCATGGAAAGATGAGCTTTCTCCGCCCACCCCAAGAACTAGGGTGGAGAATAAATACATGCACAAGACTAAATGGTTCAGTTCAGTGAATGACATTCAGGATTTGGAAAACTGGCTCTCATGAGGCCCTTTGTGGCAAATCTGGTGGGCACAGAACCGGTTGATAGAGGAAATGTTCACATACTCCATCATTTTATCCCATTCTGAACTGTGCGGCGCCAAAGGATTCTTTTGTTTAAAAATAAGTTTTCTTTCTTTTTAAAAAAACTTTTTTTTTTTTTTTAAAGATTTCATTTATTTATTTGAGAGAGAGAGAACACCAGCAGGAGGAGGGGCAGAAGGAGAGGGAGAAGCAGGCTCTCCGCTGAGCAGGGAGTCTGATGCAGGGCTCGATCCCAGGACCCCGAGATCATGACCTGAGCCACAGGAAGATGCTTCACCAACTGAGCCACCCAGGCGCCCCTAAAAATAAGTTTTCTGAGACACGAATGTCATGTTCTGAAGTCACAGAGCCTGAGGAATGATGCTCAGCTTCTGGCTTCAGTAAGACAAAATCATCTCCTGGTTGTTTTCCACAAGGAAATGGTCTGGTGGAGAGAGAAGGACCTCAGCATTTTCTTCTGAGAAGGATCTTCAGGTTCCGTGGTGCAGGCTGATAATCCGAGGGTCTACCGTGGGTTGGAGAGCATGCCACCTGGAAGGTCACAGCCTGGCTGCCTGAGACAAGTCCCCGCAGGACCAATAAGGCACAGGTGAGACTCCACTCCCCTGCTCACAACTGGGCCAGCAGAGCTCCTTCTCGGGTGCACAGACCTGCATGGACCCTCACTGAACCACCAGAGTTGCTGCTAAAGGTTCTCCTCAGCAAAGGGGGCTGAGCTATGGTCAGCACAACTCATGACAAAATACCTCCCTTCCCAGGGATTATTACTGCAGGAACTTCCTACTCACACAATTAAAAAGGCTTCCACTACAATTAAAATGAACAGACTACACATCTGTCAAACAGTCAAAGGATACTCAGCCTTGTTATTTCAAAGCACTGAGAAGCAGAAAGAGCAGAGGATGCATGATTGTATCAGTAGTATTTGAAACGATGTGCCTAGGTTGTCCAGTGGCAGAAAGAGCAGAGGCACGTGCCTCCCTGCTCAAATGGTCTCCTGGCTAAAGACTTCCAGATTATCACTTTGATGCTACCGACTACAGACCTCAGAGGGCGTTGAGCCTTGAATTAAGGTCACTAGCCCTTTGCATTTCCATGGGCCTCAACCCACTGAATTTAACATCAAGAGAAGAGGAGCATTGTATGTCCCCTGAGGTGGTTTTCAGGTTAACTGTCATAGAATTAACCTTGGCACCAAGGAGTCACCTAGAAGAACGTGGCTATCCATTCAATCCCCAAACCCTTCCACATTTCTCAATCGCGAAGATCACAGGACTCAGGTCTTGATGAAGACTTTGTGGGGTGTCTACCGCACACCTGGAGTGCTGGCAGCAAACACTTGCAGGAATTGGGCCACTGGAGGAGGCTCTGAGGTCAGGGGTGGCAGGATGCCCCCAACTTCCAGGGTCACCAGCTGCCCCGCCTGACACTGACGCATGCCCGAGAGGTCAAGTATGCAACTCCCGAGTTTTGGAACCAGGAAACCAAAACAGCAACCATCCCCCTTCATTTTCTAAGGGAACCCCACATTCTCTCCTTCCATTCCAAGGAGCGGAGTTTCAAATGTACACACGCACCCTCAACAGACCCGGAGGCATCCCCGAGGCACTGGAAGGTGAATGACCCCGTTGAGTATCAGAGTAGCCACAAAGACAGCTGGAAAATTCTCCAGAAACTCTGAGCCTGGGCACATGTAAACCATGATATTTTGTGCATGACAATGTGCCGAATGAAGGCTAGATCAATCCAGTGCAGAGTTCAAGGGCATAATATAGAACATAACCAGTGACAGCGGGTACCACACCTCATGGCCGTCAGCTCCACCTCCTTCAATGACATCAGACCATCTGTCTTCAGGGACCATCAATGTCTACCCTAGTAAAGTCTCCTCCCCTTGTCTCTTCCTGAAGTTTCTGTAGCTTTGCTTTACTATGGAACGTCATTCATGTGGACGAGAAAACACTGATATGTGGAATATGTACAATGTTTCTTATACTTGACTACACTATAACAGCAAGATTTAGAATTACATCTGGCAAATCA